TTAGATCTTGGCCCTTGGCCCTTGGCCAGATGACTATTAGACACTGCGTAGGGGTAGCCAGAAACCCGCAAGGTTGGTACAAATAGAAACACACGTAGCTCCTGAGGGACCCATACCATGAGGCTCCCGCTATAATGCCTCAACCAGGGTTGGAAGGGGTTCCCGTTCAGGGGTGGTGCCCATGACTGCTGTCCGGTCAGGTTGCTCGAATAGAGTGTGATAGTCCTCGAGCGAGGTAGGATGGAGGGAACTGGGGTTGCACCAGGGAAACACATCGAGGAGAAATAGGTTAGTGGCAAGATTGAAGATCCCCCCATGGTAAGCACAAATAGCCTCCAATAACCGCCAATAGAGCCGCCAATGGCACACCATAAAATCTGACTATTGTATGTTATTCCTGCTATAACCGACAATTGTCAATCGCTGGGCGCCAATAGCACACCATGAAATCTGGCTATTGTCTGTTATTCCTGCTATAACCGACAATACCCAATCCTCGGACATCTGGCGCACCATGAACAAATCATTCGGGGGGGGGGGGGGGGGGGGGGGAGGGGAGAAGGAACCTTTTGTCTGCTCATAACTGGATTTATTATTATTATTATTATTTAATCCTCCTCTAGTGGGAATTCTTTTTATTCACCAAAATTTTGGAGGCCGGGGACCTCACAATTCAACCTAGTGTTATCCTGGCAGCATCAACCAGTTTAGCTTACAGTCATTTGATTGAGGAACGAATATTAAACCCAACATTGCAGACTTTTGACAGGACAATGAAAGAACAAATATTGCCTATGTATTACTACTGCCCTCGTGAAGAAGGGCTTATAGAAATCTATCCAATTCTATCTAACTTCCATCCTCGTCTACCTTCCCTCTATACAACCTAACTTAACTTTCCCCTATCACAACACCATTCTCCTAATAAACAGACCTACTGTCTTGGCGGTCTGACCCCGGTCTATTCCGACTGAGCGGAACCCGAGGTTCCTCTAAAATCCTGAACACTCTCCTCCCTTCCCTACCCTTTGCGGTCCACTGTGATCACCCACAGGAACCGAGTGTCCTGGTTCATAAAGACAAAACAAGACATAACCGCACTGCTACCAATCCCGACCTATTTCTCTCACTAGTTGGAGAAACGGATTCTGCCTCCCTCTGTGACACCCACCACAGCCTCGTTCAGGGCCCAGGTATTTTGGAACCATCTCAGTCCCTCCCTACTTTTCCGGCTCCCTGCTCTTTTCCTCCAGTCTGCCGGATCTCATTTTGAAGTAATTTACGGAACAATTTTTTTCTACGTGGGCTTCTGCCATTCTCTCTTTGGTCATTACGGTCAGCCCAGATTACCCACAGCATCACTGCTCTGCATACCTGGGCTACATAGCCCCACCCTATGTTGCCAGCCATTCCCTCTGGCAGAGTCCCCATCAGTACCCAGCGTTCCTCTGTCGGCTCCGACCTCCCAGACCACTTCTTCCAATGTTTAAACCACTAGTCTCACCACCTTCTTGACTTGGAACAAGCCCACCATAGATGGTGCATGGTTTCAAACAACGAATCACATCTGTCGCATGCTTCTTTTACTGACATACCCCTCTTCCTCAGCCAGCTGGCTACAGGGACTGCTTGATGTGATTGCAGCCACAACAGGGAGGCGAGCTTCTGTGAGGGCAGATATGGAAGTTGTGTCCACATACCCTGAAACTCTTTTTCTTCTGGTGGGTCCAGGTGTGGGCAGGTTTCCTCCCACTTGTCCACCATATATTGGCAGATCGACTGGTTTTTGTTGTGCAGTTTCAACCTTATTGCTTCATCTCCCTTCGCCAGATCCCAGAGCTCCACATTCCTCACTTTCCACCCCCACGCTGATTTATCAAGACGCAGATCTTCGATGGCTGTGCCTTGATCACTTAAACTTCATTTGGGATCGACCCCAAGCTCCCCCTGTGCCACCTGTTCGACCCTTGTGGGTCTGAGGCTCGTGAGGCCGTATGCCGTGATCTCCTTGATTCTCGTAAGCTCCGGGAGTCCAAGAGTTGCCCTCTTAAAAACTGCGATCGTGCACTTGCCCGACAACGACTCGTCCCACTGCCCCAGTCTGAAGACTGTTTCTTCTTGTCCTGTTTGATCAACGACCTGCCCACAGAACCAGCTGCCAATACTCGAGACCCACTTACCATCCAGCATTTCAATCCAATTTAATGGGATGGCTTCTATCAACTCCCTCCTCCTTTCCTGTTGGTTCCATAGCATACCTTGTGATTCTTTCAACTTTTCCTCCATCTTCTATTGTCCCGTAGTCAGATCCCATAGATCCCCCACCCTCGATACTCCCCTCTGAATCCACTTCATGCCAAAGGAGCCCGGTTTGGTGTTTGCACTGAATGTCTCCCCGTCCTCTCCCCGAATCCAGGGATTCTCAAAGAGGTGTTGTCTAAGCACCTCCGCTCTGTTGATTGGTTGTGCTACCCTGTTGGGCTTACATTTTTGCCATGCTTGTACAATATCCTTCTAGAAATTCAATTTCATTTTCTTGCATAGAAAAACTTGTATCATTATGGCCACCCACACATCTTCTGGGCGCGACAGTCCCCATTCTTCGCACAACAGTTCCTCTGCCAACGCACACCAGTCAACCTTATGATCCGCAGGCGCCACGTTCAGAATCCACTTGGAGAGAAGATTCAGATTTTGAGAGTCTGGGTCTAAAAGCGTCAGGCCACCTTGGTCTTTTGGAGAACACAGGGTGTCCCAGGCCACCTTAACAATGTACCCTTGTTCCTCCCCTGACCCGGGTTTCCAAATAAATCTTCTTGCGGATGCTCTCACACCTTTAATCAGTGGCTTAGCCAACCTTCTGACCTTCGCCACATACCAAAGGATAGAGAAGGCCGACGCAGTGACCGCTAGGACTCTCCCAATCAATGATAGGTGAGGGGCCGGGCCCCAGCTACGTATCCTCTTGTCCACTCTCTCCTGCAGGACGGACGTCTGAGAATCTGTGCAGTCCCACAAAGCTAGTTGCACCCCCAGGTACCTTTCCGCTTCTCCCTCCTGTACTCTGCGCATGCCCCATTCCACCTCAAGATTATAATCAGAGGGCAAATAGAAGATGGATTTGTTCCAGTTCACCGCCGCTTCCGAGAATTCCGCGGACAGACATCCTTTGAGAGCCTCTAGGGATACCTTCTCATTGGCTGACAGGGCTAGCAAATCGTCCGCCAATGCCTTGACCCTGCATTCTTTTCCCCTGCGTAGCTTTAGTCCCACCAATAAGGGATGAGATCTGATATCGTTAAGCAGAACCTCTAACTGTACAACGAATAGGAGTGGGGCCAAAGGACACCCCTGTCTCAATGAGTGTGTCATTTGGAACTCCTTACTGTGCCAACCATTAACTTGAACCGCTGCAGTGGAGAAAATGTACAGCGCTTTCACGTCATTGCAGAAGCTGCTCCCGAAGTTCATCCTCTTCAGTGTCGTGAGCACAAATGTCCAATTCACGCGGTCGTAGGCTTTCTCCAAGTCAAGCATGAGGACCGCCACCTCTGCATTCCTGTTCCCAATGACTTCCAATGCCTCAATCGCAGTGGCTAGATTATCAAAAATGGACCTGCCTTCAAGTTTAACAAAGGCACTTTGGACCAGCCCTACCAGGCCTGGCAGATAGAGTGCAAGTCTGTTGGTCATTGTCTTCGCCAGCAGTTTATATGAAAAATTGAGTAATGATATTGGCCGCCAGTTTTTTATTTCGCTGCGGTCCCCTTTCTTATAGAGCAGCGTTATAATTCCTCGAGTCATGGTCGGACTTAGTCTGTCTCCACTCAGCACTTCGTTGTACAAGGTCACTAGTTCCTCCACTAGCACCTCCCAAACCGCCTTGTAAAATTCCTTCGCCAGCCCATCATCGCCAGGAGCCTTACCATTAGCTATTGTGGTCATGGTGTGTGACTCAGAGAGTTCAGCCGCTGAGATCGGTTTGTCTAATGTCTCTCTTGCTTCAGGACTTAACGCAGTTTCCAAGGAATTCCACACTTCAGAATGTTCTGATAAGTCTGACCCTGGGTCAACAAATCTTGAGCGAGACGTCAGTATGTCCTGGAAATAGGCATGTGGCCGTTGCTGGAGGAAGCGAGGCAAAGTGCGGGTGGGTCAGCTCTTTCATTTGGACCGATTTCCTCCTTGGGAGGAGTCTCTGGAACGTTTTCTTGCACAGGCGATCTCCGGTAGCGATCTTCTTTTCCATAAGAATTTGCTCCCACCGACTGTGTTTTTCCTGCTGCATCCGTTCCCAGCTTCGTAGTCTGTCTGCTCTCTCTTCCGCCCACACCATCTCTGAGATCGGATGCGTTCCCATTCATTCTTCTGTTTCTTCCACTTTTCTTCGGCAGTCTGCTTCTTCTTTATTTCTGAGGAATGTAGCTATCACCGAGAACACTTCCATCTTGTTTGAGATAATTTTTATCCCCGCAACTATCCATTCCGCTCTTGTGGTGAAGAACACCTTTGCTTCATCCCACTCATTCCAAAAGAGTCTTACCCAGTTCACTACCTCCTTTTCTTTCAGGATCGATGTGTTCAGCCTGAAGCATCCTGGGCCTCTCCCACTCGCTATCCCCACGCTGACTGTCATCATGACAGGCTTATGATCCGACATTGCCGCATTCGTTTCGCGGACCATATGCACATTGGCAACTGCTGCTTCAGACACCAAGAAATAGTCCAACCGCCTCTTGATCCCCGCCGACTGAGGTGTCCTCCAGAACTATGTGAAGCCAGGCTGCAGCGGATTGATATCTCTGTAAATGTCTTGTAAAGCCCACTTTTCCTTCCACAGTAGCAGTGTCCTCCTATCCCTCTGCAACCCCTCCTGTTTTTATGAGTCCAGACCCGGAGTGGAGATCAGGTTCCAATTGCCTCCTATAATCAGATACTCCGTCTTTCAAGTTGGCACCTTCCTGGAAAGCATTTCAATAAATTCAATTCGGTCCAGGGGGTCGTTTGGTGCATACATCGTAGCAAACACCCATTCCTCCCCTTCCATTTCCATTTTTACCCAATACCAGTGCCCCCATAGGTCACAGTCTGCGTCTAGCAAGGTGCACGCCAACCGATTATGAACCAGGATAGCAACCCCACCCCGACTTCCTTGAGCAGGAGACCACAATTGTGTTTAATTGACTCAACTTTTCTACTGATAACTTCGTTTCTTGCACGAAGGCCATGTCCACATTCGTCTCGTGTATCCATTTTTTCAACCTCCTTCCTTTCTGTTTCCCTCCCGAGTCCCCTAGTCCCTGGACATTCCAGGTGGCAATTTTAATTTTGCCCATTACTCTATTGCTGGTGGGCCGTTGCTTGGATGTGCCCTGGGGTCGTGAGATTCTCCGACCATCTGCTGCTCAGTACTTCCGCGAAGTATGCTGACGTGAGGTTCCTTCTTTTCTGCAGCTGTGAGTTTAGTTGAAGCAGCACCGTTGCTGACATCCCCGGATCCACTGAGATGCTCTGTAATTCGTTGTTTGGATCAACTAGCAGCAACCGGAGCGGAATGCCCACCAGGCCAACGTTGCCTATATTATTCCACACGTTTGGAGGAATCCTTGCATCTACAAGCGGAATCGAGTACCGAGCCTTGCCTCCTTCTGGCAGATTAACTATCAAGCGAACTAGAGCCTCTTCCGGGAAGAGCCAGAACTGAAACCGCTCAGCAAAAAGCTGCCTCACTTTCATCATGACGAACTGCGCAGAAGGAATCTCCAATATATGGCTCGTTGGCATATAAAGCTTGTCTTCTACAGATCTGAGTCCGAGGATGAAGATTTTGTGGCCTTGGAGGGTGCACATCAGTGGAAGGATCAGGTGGTCCATCATCTGTTGATCTTCACTTGTTCTGCTCAATGCTCCATCGTGGATGTCCCGTGGGGAGTCCTCCTCATTCTCCTCTCCCGCCATTCCCACATCCACCACCTGCTCTCGACCTTCTAATCTCTCCTGCTTTACTCCTTCCGCTCCTCCCGTATATGTCATCAGTTCCTTGCGTTCCGATCTACGGATGCCATCCCCACAAGGTTTTCTTTCCTGCATGGGTTGCCTCTCCAGTTTTTCTTTCAACCACCTTTCCTTTTTTTCTCTGATTTGAACCACCGCCAAGTCTCTCGTCTCCTCGAGTGCGTGACCCTGCGTGGAAGCCTGCATGTTTTGTGGAGTGGCTCCATGTTGCCCCATTAATTCAGTTGATAGGATGCGTGCTCCCGCCAAAATTGACGATTGCCAGGCTTGTTCACCCAATGTACTTCAGATTTCAGGAAAGCTCTGCAACTCCGGATTACCCATACCATACCCTTGATGGTAGGTAGGAGGAGGATTCTGTTTGTACAGACCGAAGCCTGTTCCCAGTGCTTTTTCGTGAAAGCTTGTAGTCGTCGGTAGTCCACCTTGTACGGCCTGCGCCTGTGCTCCCATGCTTGGGTGTGCATAAGCCGCTTGGCCCTGCGTCTGCTGTGGCTGGATTCTGATGCCTTGAGGTCTCCCGCTCGAGCCTTCACGTTGCGGTTGCTGGTCTCTCGAAGCCGCACGAATGGAAGATTCCGCTACCGTTTGATGCGGAATTTCGACTGGGGGGTCTTTCGCTGCTTCTCAAATCCCTCCAATCGTACCCGATGCAAGTTGCTGCCTGTTTCTCTGCGAAAAATTATCCGTTGTACCTGCTTCTGCTTCCTGCCCATCTCGCGATTGAACCAGTTTAGGGCACCCATCTGTGGCTGTATGATTCCACTACTTGCACCTGTCACACCAGGGGGTGTGTTTGTAGACCAGCTCCACGTTGATATCCTCCCCATCATCCAAATGCAGCGGCAATATGATAATAAATCCCCCCTCCACTTCCGGAGCGAGTTCAAATTTCATATTCATCAGCTTGGGGCGCGACGGATCCGGCTGAGGAGGGATAACATTTATTTTTTATCTTTCCCATACATTGTTTAATTGCGTCGGCTATTGGAAACATCCCCCTCAGCGGCACACGAAGAGCCATTACCCAAAACTTGGAAGCATCCTCCAACCTCCTTTTTGCATCTAGTTCACGCCGCGTCATCCACGGTTTGAATAACATTTTATATGTCGTCCCTCAAATGATGATGGTATCCTCCCCTTTATTAATCAACCACTGCGCGATCTCCCTCGTCATCACCACATGAGACATTACATCAGGCCCTTCCGAGTGCACCCTTCCTCTCTTTATCGCTCGTGCAAAAGTGCAAGATCTAATCCAACCGTTTTCCTACGCTCGTATTAAGTCTTCTCTCACTTTCGCCAGTAGAGATCGAGCCTCCCCTTGGAAAATCACGGTAACTATTCGTTCTTTCAACCATCTGGTGGAAAGTTCCCCTACTTGCTTATCCACCACGAAGATGCGAACTCCATTCTCGTACAAAAATTTGCCTTGCTTCAACCTTTAAGGGAAGATCCCCTCCTCATAGCATTTCGCTATCAGGAACCGCACCCGATCTTCCTCTGAGATCGGGATTTCCCCTTGTCCCGGGGGGGAGCGATCCTCTCTCCGTCCTTCACGCCCATCGCCACCTCCACCCGACGCCATAGTGACCTTGCCCCGTTTGTTCTTCTGCGTGACAGGTTTAACACCGTTAACCCTCTTGTGTTCTTCTCACCTTTCCCTTTCCGTCTTCACTTCTTCCTAACTGATTTACGGTATCATTCTCAACCTGTACCCCTCCTGATCTTTAAACGAAGTTCGTCTGCGCTCATCCGCTAATCCGGTTCTACGTTTCCTCGATCTCCCCGTCTTCTCCTCCTGTCAAGTTGAATATGGTGTTGCTTGCACTTGGTCTCGCACCTATCTTCGAGGGGAGTACGCCATGCTCGTCGAAAGTTCTTCAACCATCAGGGGGGGGGGGGGGGGGGGGTCCCCCTCTAACACGTTCTTCCTTCGAAGCACTAGTGTCTCTTGTCTCTTCCTACGTTATTGTCGACTTCTAACCGAAGTCTCCATTCCTCTCACAACAACCCCACCTGAAAGGCGGACGCCAGTCCGCGGACGCCTGTACACGTGTCACACGTAGTTCGCGACGAGAGCAATCACACTCCAACGGGCCGGCTTGCCCTCGCCAATCTCCCTCTCCAAAAGGCAGGATGCTCGGAAAACACCGAGCGAGATGGCGGGGGAAAAACTCCTGTGGTAACTATCATGGCGGTAGTACCACGGTAAACCGGTTCGGCCACTACAGCCGAAGGCGCTAGCTTAGAACGCTTCCTGCGTCAACTGCAGCACTCACCGGGCCTAGAAGCTTCGGGTAGCGCTACCAACCACGCTGATCCGGGCCTACTCACTCACGCGAGAATAGCGCTGCGATTAGCGCTACCGGAAGGCTCGCGGCCGCACCGAATTCCTCCCATAACTGGAATTTCATGGTGTGCCATTCAAGGCCCGCCACTGGAATAGCAAAATTCCCGTAAGCACAAATTACTCTCATACCCAGATGCAATTCCCCCCCCACCCCCCACAAAAAAAAGGAGGAAAAATCAGTGAACCGACCCTCCCTAGGTGATTCAGAAGTACCTTATTTTGTTCATCTGACTATCCCGATTCGAACTTGGGCCTCTATGCCAACAGTTCATGGGTGTACCAACTGAGTTAGGCCCGGTAGTTTTTTCACACACTTCTTTTTTCTTTAATTAGTAGTTGGTTTTAAGTTCCATCATCTGGATTCGAACACAGGTCTGTATTTCAACAGTTCAGGGTTGTACCCACTGAGCTGTAGGCTCTTGGGTACTTTCTTTCGCACACTTTTGTGTTGTGTCGCGAGTTCTACCTACCGCCTTGACCCGAATAGAACGCCCGGTAATTATCGCCGTATCTGGCCTGAAAGTTGTGCCAAATACAGCTATAATGACCGTATGTTGTATTCGGGGGAAGACAGAAGTCTGGCAATTGAACACAGCTGATGTTCGCTCCGTGGCTCTACTGACTAACAATGAGGTCACAATGGGCCCTCGCAGAGAGGCTACTGGGCCTCGCCACACCACTCTCGAAATGTGAAAAAGACAAAAACGTGGCGGGTGCATCTGGTCATGTTCTAGGGGGAGGTTCACGCTCATTTTTCACATTTCGAGAGTGGTGTGGCGATGCCCACTGAGGGGGTGATAGTTAGACGGCCAGTGTATCATCCCCGAGCTCCGAGCTCGAAGAAGATGGAAAGAGGCAATCAACATGTTCTTGTATTTTGCACACGTGGCGACCTGTGGGGCGAGGGCAATTGAGTGGGGGAGGGGGAGGGGAAGGGGAAGGTAGAGACACGGTCATCCTGCTCGATGGATGGTCATCCTGCGTCATCGGGGATCCATCCTGGGTGTAGTAGGTTGTTGGTGGCTCGTATGTCGATCTATAGACGGAAGGGAACCGCGAACTGATGGATAAAGGACAGTGGGATTTACCATGGGGGCTTATTCGATCTTGCTAACCTTGGTTAGCTGATGTTGCATAGCTCTATGGTAACCTTGGTTAGCTGATGTACCATAGCTCATGCGTGCTTGGAAGGGAAGTCTAACGACCAGGAGAGAGGGCTAAGTAAGTAGCTGTAATGAGATGATATAGTAGGAGTTCTATGTAAAGGAGTTCCAGTCAGGGCAACGTGCTTCTTGGTCGGTCAATGTCGATAGATTGAGCAGGTGATCGATTCCTGCCTGAAGTGTGGAGCGCCGTGTCTCTCAGCCTGAGGGACTGATCGATCGATCGATCGATCGTCGGAGTTACAAGAACGGCCACGTGCTGGTCGGTCAATCGATCGATCGAGGGATCGATCAGTCGATCAGTCGATCTGTCGACTACCCATTCAGGGGAAGCCGTGTGCGGATCGATCGGGGTGCCTGAGGTGCTGTGAGGGGAGAGCTCGTGGCAGACGGGTAAGGTTGGAAGACAAGGAGAAGTTGGGGAGGGGGGGGGAGGGGGGGGAGATACAGGCTGAGTGCCGAAAAGCGAACCGAAACCGCCCTCTCTATCTGTGTGTGTGTGTGTGTGTGTGTGTGTGTGTGTGTGTGTGTGTGTGTGTGTGTGTGTGTGTTCGAATTGCTGGCGAACGAAGACGGAGCTTGAGGAGGAAGAGAGGGATGGACAAGAGCAGGAACAGAGAGAGAGATGAAATACGACGAGGAGGGGGAGGAGGAGGAGGACGAGGAGGAGGAGGAGGAAGAGGAGAAAGAGGGTACAGGCTGAGTTAAGGATAGAAAGGGGAGGTATTGGAAAAAGAGAGGAGTATGAGACGACCGGAGAAACTCGAATAGGAAGGAGAAGAAAAATAGAGGAGCAGTTGGAATTGGAGTGAAGCACAAATAGCAGCCCATCGCCGGAATAGCACAGCCAATAACCGGAATATCAGACAAAAGCTGGAAGAGAGAGAGAGAGAGAGAGAGAGAGAGAGAGAGAGAGAGAGAGAGAGAGAGAGAGAGAGAAGCTGTGATTA